CGTGCTCGGTAATTATGGGATAATTACGTCCTCGATATTCCTTAAACATCTTCGAACGCAGCTCCGGGCTACTGTCCACGTCTTCGTTCCTATACATGAACCATGAGTTCGCCCTATTTATAATTACACCCTACGATTGCCTCCAATTTAACTCTTCTCCCAGTAACGAGCGATGATCACACTGAGGCCATGAATGTGCATCTACGGAGAAAATCACGAGCAAAAGTCCGCGAACTTGGACGCGTCGCGTCGTACGTTGCGCGCTTGTTTCACAACATCGAACGTCCTATTCTATTAATATACCGACAACACTTGTTTCATGGTTCACGGTTTGAACCCGTGGTGCGCTGTTACACAGCTGTTGAAAATCCTTATAAGATCGACGAACAGATGTTTTTTTTCGTGCTGAAATAATGCGGTGGTATAAATAAAAATCGAGGCGTAAAGGTTATGGAAAATCGATCAGATGTGTATATAAGTACTTGATAAATATAGAAAATGCTTAGAGGTTCGCGTGTAAATGTATAAAAAATGTCGACACAAATCGAAAGTTAAATTGGCAGTAAGATAACATCTTTTGAAAGAATGTGTCCTTGGAATATTTTAAAAGTAAAAAGTAACTTATAAGATTTTTTAACGAGATGGTAATAAACAAAAGGCATTAACGATGCATGCTCAAAGCTCGTCGTATTGTAAACATTGACTGAAAAACGAAACATTGAAACACCAAAATCTAATTAGCACTTTGACTGTCCAACTAATTCCAAGTATCGAACCCACGAAGTATATAGTTGTAACACAGTCATACATATATAGGGTGTCCACAAAGTGCTGTTAGAAATAAGTTTTAAACAGTAGTTGATACGAACAAATGCAAGAACGCTTTTCCTTCTCATTTTTTATATAAAATATGATAACATAAATAAAAAATTTTTCGTTCAAATTTTTTCAGGTTATTTCAACGTTGTTTTATATTTTTCAAATAAAACGCTATATTTCTGTTCCAACGTAATGCAAAATATAGCAAAGGGAGACATAACCTAACTCTTACTGTCATTTTTCAGTAAAACCTTTCGTTTCACACTTTCTCTCTTTTGCCCAAGCAAATCACTCGTCTTTCAATCGTATTACAATTTTCATTACGTCCTTTTCTTTCGCGTTAGTTTTACTTCCGCCTAAGGAGAAGAAAAAGAAAGAAAGAGGAAACATCTTTTTACGTTTGTTTTCCATTACGTACATACGAAATCGCACGGGCTGCGCACCCTACGCGTCGTCTGATCGCGTATTTATTCATCTAGCGGAAGAAAGAAGCTTTTATCGGTGTTTGCGAGAACCTTTCGCCGCGCGACAGAGAGCAAATCGATTCGGAAGGCCGCGTGCTCGAGCAGGTGCTCGCTAGGAAAAGGAAAGAATCTCATTCGGTGGCGTGAAACGAGAAATTTGAAATTCGTGTGAAGAGACGCCCCCGCGAGATTTCCCTCAACCCTCTGCGACCGAAATCGACGCGAGATGTTGCTTTTCACCCCCCTCTCTCCCCACTCTGTATAGCGATGGGTTCTTGTATACAGAGCCTGTGCTGGCATCGCCTAATATCCTTGAGCAGGCTGAAAACTTTACTCTCGAACCGAGTGGGGCGGTAGATACGTCGACCCGAGATGGTGTTTTAAGGTTTTTAAAAGACTGCCACGCCGTTCGTTTCTTCGCGGATCGCGGTAGCAAGGAGGGAGGGAGAGACGGCGTAGGACCCTGCTTTTGAAATATTAAGTGACTGATGGATGAGGCTCCTAAGGGGAAGAAAGAGAGGGCTGCTATGGTCAAGACAGAGATACAACTAGCGTCGAAATGTTTCCGTTCTTTTTTACGCCCCTTATCTGCCACCGTGTGTCCCATTTCTTAGGAATTTTAACCTCGTTGCTGCGGCTGTTCTCTACGAGAGCTTGCAAAACGTAGCGTATCTCACGCGAACTCCTAATAATAATATACTCGTGATAATAATGTTTGTTAACTTCGTGAAAAGAGGTAAAGGAAAGAACGCACTAAATGAGGTCAACTTCGCCGCGGTTGATGAATCTTCGCTTCAACTGCGTGATATATAGAATTTTTCTGTTCTTTTGATAAGAAAGTAATGATAATACTTTGAATAGTAATTGTTATTTGAATAAAGGGTAGCTTAGAATGATGACGATGATACTTTTAACGAATCAGCGAGTACAATGAAAGATGTGGTAACAAACGTGATAGGCTGCTCAGGCAGGAGCTCTGCGGGCAAGAAGGGCGCCCGCCGTTGCCCGCGGGCACTGCTACGGGCAAAGTTAACGAGGAGAGATAGGCAAGCCCGGGAAACACCGATTTGGATCATCTTTTGCGGATTGAGAGGGCTTGATATAAAATGAAAATATACTAAGCCATTCGTTCAAACGGATAAAACGGTTTACGAGAAACAGCGATTTAAAAAAATTTACGCCAAATGACAACCGCTCCAGTTCTGCTAGAGATAGGGTCACCGGCCATGGCCCAGTGGTTAAACTGACCATCAGACATTTGCTGGGCACTTAAATAACAGACAATGTGTAGGCGCCTGCCTGATAGATTTGGAGGAGGCCTTTGACACAGTTTGGCTCGAAGGATTAATATACAAATTAGACAAACTCGGATTTCTTTAATACCTATTGAAAATAATCTGGAACATAACAAAACAAGAAATTCCAAACTTCTGATGACAAATACGTCTGTGAAAATCTTCAAGGTCTCTCGAACGGCCTTCAACAAGGAACAGTAAATTCCCCATTCAACGTATTCACGGTCAATCTATTAAAGCTCTTCGAGCTAGACGATGATCCCTCGGTAAATGTAATAGCATTCGCAGATGACTTAATAATACACGCTATCGATTACAAACAAACAAGAATACAGAACAAACTCTAAAACCTATTTAAAAAAATTTGTAATTATTTCGATAACTGGAAATTAAAAATTAATACAACAAAATCACTTCCTTAGAGCGATAAGAGAAAATGATAATGGAATAATATTAGGCCTATTTTACCCACAACCATAATACATTTAAAAAAAAGACAAGGAACGATATACACATTCTCGGAATTGTTTCCCTACCTTGATTTCGATGAACTTATCACAGACAGCAATAACACAGCAATAATTTATCATACAATCGATAACACAGATAACAGAACACACGTAAGATACTGCACACAGCTACCAAATAGAGACAAAGGAAACTAAATCGAAGGAAAACGAAAACTACTGGTGGTTTAAATAATTGCAGAATAGACATTTTTGCAAACCCAGAACATTTTTATTTTGGGCGCAGAAATTGATAAAAAATGGGGGGGGAAGTAGCGTGAGACCAAGAAAAACGCCAAAAAATATCAAAATCTAGAAAAAATCAATATGTCAGTTTACAGGAGCGCGAAGAGCCATTAAGACTGAAGATGTGAATAACGCAAATGCATACTTTAGTGTGGGGAAGTAGCGTGAGACCAAGAAAAACGCCAAAAAATATCAAAATCTAGAAAAAACCAATATGTCAGTTTACAGGAGCGCGAAGAGCCATTAAGACTGAAGATGTGAATAGCGCAAATGCATACTTTAGTGTGTTTTTTTTTTTAACAATTTGAATGTAATTAGAAATGGCAAAAAATCTCATAAAATTGTTAAAAGGGAGAGAAAATGAAATACATATTTTAAAAAAAATTACGGGAAGACGCGAACGCATGATGGCAGCGTTCTAGTCACTTATGTCAGCTTAACCATTAGGCCACGGCCGCTGACCTTATCTCTAGCAGAACTGGAGCAGTTGTTATTTGGCGTGAATTTTTTTAAATCGTTATTTCTCACAAACCGTTATCCGTCTGAACGAACGGCTTGGTGTATTTTTATTTCACATCGAGCCTTCTAAATCCACGAAGGATGATTCAAATCGGTGTGTTTTTTCTCGGTTGTGTAAGAGCAAGTAACGTCGACAGTCGTGAATGGAGTAGGGAACAACGGTATTGATACGAGTGTGTGATCATGAGTTACCATGTGTTGGTTACCTTCGCGAGGTGTTTCGTACCATCGGTTGCTTTTTTCAGCACGTACGATCACTGTTACATTCATGTAGTGCCCCGCCACAGGATCGTTGCTCGAGCCAGCTTGGCTCACTGCTGGAATATCGCTCGAGTTTGTCTAACTACTTCACATAGAGCAACTTCGAGATCGACTCTGCCAGGTTGGTCACCTGTGACCGGAGATTGTTTCCTCGATGGGGCCACGGTGGTCATCGGTGACCGGAGTCACCAGTCAAATGTTGAGAATAATTAAAATAAAATGAATATCGTCGACTGAAAATTTCGAACATCGTAGCTAA